CACCACCAGACGTGCCTTCTCGCGGGCGACCATGTCGTCGACGTGGTACTTCGTCGTGAGTACCCAACGATTCTTCATCACATTGACACCGCTCGGACGCTCGACCAGCTCCCACGTTCCGTTGGAGATGAGATTCTTGATCTCCTCGTCCATGGCCGCTTTCACCGCCTTGCCCTTCCAGCTCGCCAACGCCTCCTTCACTGTCATGTTGGCGATGTCCCAGCAATGCTCTGGGTTAGCATGCATGTCGGGGTCGAGTTCGGGCAGATCAACGTCGTCCTCTGCGTCGTCGAGCAGAGTGCTGTAAGCCGTCGGCGGCAGACAAGCGTGGAAGCTCAGCTTCTCAGGCGGCTTGCCGATGTTGGGGCGGGTAGAACGGCGCGGTTTCTCCTCTTCGACCGCGACCTCTACCACGTAGTCGTCTTCGGACTGCTCCCCTTCTCCGCCACCGGCCGCGCCGACGACTTCCACAACGTCGTCGCTCGATGAATCATCGTCGAACTGCTCCCCTGTCGGCAGCTCCTCTACCAGCTGCTCCCCCAGGATCGGCTGCTCTGCCAACGACTCCTCTGAAGGTGGCGCCTCTGCCAGCGGCTTTTCTGCAGGCTGCTTCGGCGCCTCTGGCAGCAGCTTCTCTGCAGTCGGCTTCGACGCCGACAGCTCCCCTGTCGTCTGCCGCTTCCCGTCGCCGACCTTCTCGGCGTCACGTTGGCCACCGGCGATGCAACCGGTCGGCGCCGCAGGCGACGCACCAAGTCTCCCCTCATCGCCGGCGGCCGACGAGGGCACAACAGGAGGAGGGAGGGGAACTTCCTCTACGTCGACGACGTAGGCGAGCAGAGGAATCGTCGAGGAGGAATCCGGCGGCGGAGCAGACGGCGACCTCTTCGACGCCGGCCCGTACTCAGCCTTCCACTTCTCGATCGACAGGTTCTCGTAGAAGATTGCCTCGACCGTCGTGACGACTTTGTTGGCAGTCAGGTCGAGCACCTCCCAGCCCTTGCTCTCCAGCGACACGCCGGGTGAAGACCCCAACGGGCCTTCGGCGCCAGCTTCCCGCCGCGCTGCTGCTCGGGGACCATGAACTGCACCATGCAGCCCCAGACGCGCGCCAGCGTCAGATCCGGCTTCGTCCTGAAGAGCAGCTCGTGCGGCGTCGTCCCCTTTGGCAGAGAAGCCCGCTCGAGGCAGTTGCGCACCCAGACAGCGTGGCGCAGAGCGAGGTGCCACCAGTGATGCTTCACGCCCATGTGCAGAAGCATCGTTCGCACGGCCTCGACCACCGTGCGCATCTCCCGCTCGGCCATCCCATTCTGCTGCGGAGTGTAGGGGCACGTCAGATTGTGAAGGATTCCCTTGTCCTCGACGAGGTCGGTGAAGGCGCGACCGAGGAACTCCCCTCCGCGGTCAGAACGCAGCTTCTTCACCGTCTTCGACGTCTGCCGCTCTACCTCCTTCAGCCACTTGTCGAAGACGACCAGCACGTCGCTCTTCTTCGCGATCGGCCGCACCCACACGTAGCGAGTCTTCCGATCTTTGAGCAAAAGAAAGTAGAAGCTGCCATCGTTGGCGGCCACTCGAAATGGCCCGCAGAGATCGACGTGCACCACATCAAGCGCGTTCTCGGCGTCCGATCCGTGATCGGGGAAGGTGTGCCGTGCAAGTTTGCCGCCGACGCAGGAGGCACACGGCAGATCAGCCGCGGTCGACTTCTTGATGTCCAGACCGGCGGCGACCTCATGCTTCGCCGAGCTCTTGATCGTGTCGACGCCGACGTGCGCAAGCCGTGCGTGCAGCATGTCCGGGGTCAACTTTGTCGCAGACGCGATCGTCCGTAGAGCCACAACCTCCATCGAAGTCGTCGTAGACTTCGTCGAGCAGGGGCGCAGATCGGTGCAGAGAATTCTGCCGGAGTAGCGAGCTCGACCAAGGACATCGCCGGCAGAAGACACCAGCAGCATCTCGCCGCCGTCGTCCTGCAGCTTCACGCCATTCTCCTTGAGTTGGCCAGCAGAAAGCAGGTTCGCGTGCACACCCGGAACGTAGAGTACGTCGGGGACGAGGACCTGCTTCCCGGCCTCCCCTTGCAGAGCAACGGTTCCTCTACCTTCGACGCTCTGAAGTGCCCCATTGAAGCCGCGGACGTGACGAACGTCGCCGCTCGGCTGCATGTTGACGAAGGCCTCCTTCGTCCCCATCAAATGGTGGGAGCAGCCGCTGTCGAGCAACACAACGGTCGGATTGGCCTGCACAGCAGCAGCAACCGCCTTGAAGTCTTCGCCAGCCTCCAGCGCCAGCGAGATCGTCGGCTCTACCACGTTGACCATCGAGCACGAAGCCTCCTCTCCACGAGCATTGCCGCCAGAGGAGTCCGCATCCTTCGTCGAAGACGTCTTCGACGGCTGCTTCTCCTTGCGCGGTTGGTTGTCCCGGCGACGACGGCCACCATCTCCCTTTTTGCGGTTGGCGTTCCGGTCGTCGTTAGACTCATCTCGGTCTGGGCAGTCGTACGAGAGGTGGTCAGGAGCATCGCAGATGTAGCAGCGGCGTCCTTCTCGACGCGAGCCACTGCTGCCGCGATTTCCACCTTTCGCCGACTTTCCGCGGTCGGCGCCCTCCGTCGATTTCGCGTTCGATGACTTCCCACCATCGCCTTTGGCAGACTTCCCACGCTGCCCCTGTTGGCGTCCCTGCTTCGCTGGGGCCACGTAGTTGACTTGCGGAAGCAGTTCTGCAGGACGCTCAGACTCCTGCATGAACTCGTCCTGGATTATGTGGCTCGAAAGCGAGTCCTCGTTCAGAGTCTCGCGCGTGCCGGGAATCGTCAGCATCCGGCGCATCAGATTGTAGCCCGAGGGGAGGCCACTGATGACATGGGTGACGTACGATGCCACCGAGTAATCGACGCCGGCCATCCGCAGATCGGCCAAAACCCGCCGCGCTCGATTGCAGTACTCGGTCGCCGATTCCTGCTCGCCCATCCAAATGTTGGTCAACTTCTTCTCCTGTTGACTGATGTAGAGGTCGTCGGTCGCTTTGTAGGTGCGCATGATGTACTGTCACGCTTGGTAGCCAGCATCCACCCGAAGTCTGCACGACTTCAATGCGACCTGCACTAGAGGCGAGCAGCACCTCGAAATGACCATAAAGGTCAGAAGGTGAGCAACGCGAAACTCCGACCAGAGCTCCACTTCCTCCTCGTCCGGCGCCAGAACAGTTCCGTCGACGAACTTCTTCAATCCAACGATCTCCAGCTGGGGCTCAATGGATTCAATCCACGTGATCAAGTTGTGGCGACCCTCCAGCAGCTTCGGCACAGCGATCTTGTCCGGCGAAAACTTGAAATATCCGTACGCCGGCGCGATGCCTCCATCTCAACCAGCCGACGCATGAGTCGCCGAAGTTGGCCTAACTCCACTCCGCAGAGGAGATTGACGTCGACCGTCAATGTTGCCGTTCGAGCTGCCTCCAGTCGCAGACGATCGCAGCACTTGCGCTTGCACTCCGCCAACGCCGTTGTCGGCGGGCCAAATCACTCCGCGAGTCCTCGTGCTTCCACCGCCGACAACATTTCCGCCATCGTCATTGTGCACGGGTCGGGGAGAGGCGGACGCGCCGTCCGCTTCTGCACGGGGAGGGGGATGCTCACGCGCCCACTGCGCACGAGTTCCAAGGAGCATAATCTCCAAGTCCGCCTCGCCGTACCCGCCAGCCTCGTGGCGTGCCCGAACACCAGCCTCTCTCGCCTGCAGAGTATCTTCTACACCTGCTTCGACCACGGGGTCGACCATGGCGACTAAGACGGCTGCCGGCCTAAGAACAACTTAGGTAATGGACGCAGAAGTCGGCTATCTGAAGGTTCTAATGCGGGGTCGTCCACGCTCACCGCACCATGCGGAGAGTCACTACACAACGGGAGTGGACTACGGTGGAGGGCACGGAGTTGTGCGGGTGGTCATAGCGTTGTTCTAATGTTCTTACTGCTTGTTGTGTTCACAGAGAAGTTTTGGCAAGAGTTTCCACTAAGGAAGAACGAACAACTTGCAATGAAAAGTTGAAAGTACAATTGAGGCATGCAGAACAAAAAGGACTAGAAAGGCATTCAACTCCTAGCAAGGGCGAAATCTGCCAGCGCAGCAGAAGAGCGGCTTGCCAACGTTGCAGCAGAGTGTTCTGCCAACGTTGCACTGCGCGCGGTCTGCCAGCGTTGCAGTCCCAGGTGACTATCTGCAGTCGCAGGTAACTATCTGCAGTCGCAGGCTGTCTATCTGCGCAGATGTGCGCACCTACCAAGTAGGTGCAGGTTGGCGGTTTCACCGTCAGGCACATTGCGCAGGTGCCAGGTAGAAAACGTGTCGTCGGTTTCGCCAGGTGCGCACCGTCGACCACGTGATGCCGTTCCGCAGGTAGAACTTCGCCAAAATCTCCTGGGCGAGAGTTCGCACCCCTCCGCAGAGTTTCGCACAACTCTGCAACTTCGAACGAAGGACTCGCCATCGCTCGGTCGAACAGAGTTCGCCGAGCAGAGCTCCTCGACCAGAACTCTTCGACCAGAGTTCCTCGACGGAAGTTCGTCGCGCAGAGATCGTCGACCAGAGCTCGTCGCGCAGAGCTCGTCGACCAGATTCCGTCGAGCAGAGCCTGCTCGACTGCAACTTCCGTCAAACTGCAGAAGCCTACTTCTTCTACCAAGTCGTCGAGAACTTCCCGTCGACGGCGAGATCGGCTGCGCCCAAGCGAGGGCGGGGCCTTTCTCTTCGACAGGGGAGAGCGTCGCGACGCTCCGGGGCGGCCGGGGAGAGCATTGCGACGCTCTGGGGCGTCCGGGGAGAGCATCGCGACGCTCTGGGGCGTCCAGGGAGAGCATCGCGATGCTTGGGGGCGGCTGGGGAGACCATCGCGACGCTCTGGGGCGTCCGGGGAGAGCATCGCGACGCTCTGGGGCGTCTGGGGAGAGCATCGCGACGCTCCGGGGCGTCCGGAGAGAGCATCGCGACGCTCTAGGGCGTCCGGGGAGAGCATCGCGACGCTGTGGGGCGTCCCGCGAGAGCATCGCGGCGCTCTGGGGCGTCCGGGGAGAGCATCGCGACGCTCTGGGGCGGCCAAAGAGAGCATCGCGACGCTCCAAAGCGTCCGGGGAGAGCATCGCGATGCTCTGGGGCGTCCGCGGAGAGCATCGCGACGCTCTGGGGCGTCCGGGGAGAGCATCGCGACGCTCCGGGGCAGCTGGGGAGAGGATCGCGTCGCTCCGGGTCGGGCGGGGAGAGCATCGCGACGCTCTGGGGCGTCCGGGGAGAGCATCGCGATGCTCTGAGGCGTCCAAGGAGAGCATCGCGACGCTCCGGGGCGGCTGGGGAGAGCATCGCGACGCTCTGGGGCTTCCGGGGAAAGCATCGCGATGCTCTGGGGCGTCCGGGGAGAGCATTGCGACGCTCCAAGGCGTCCGAGGAGAGCATCGCGACGCTCCGGGCGTCCGGGGAGAGCATCGCGACGCTCTGGGGCGTCCGGGGAGAACATCGCGACGCTCCGGGGCGTCCGGGGAGAGCATCGCGACGCTCCGGGGCGTCCGGGGAGAGCATCTCGACGCTACGAGGCGTCCGGGGAGAGCATCGCGACGCTCCGGGGCGGCCGGGGAGAGCATCGCGACGCTCTGTGGCGTCCGGGGAGAGCATCGCGACGCTCTGGGGCGTCCGGGGAGAGCATCGCGACGCTCTGGGGCGTCGGGGGAGAGCATCGCGACGCTCCGGGGCGTCCGGGGAGAGCATCGCGACGCTCCGGGGCGTCTGGGGAGAGCATCGCGACGCTTCGGGGCGTCTGGGGAGAGCATCGCGACGCTTCGGGGCGTCCGAGGAGAGCATCTCGACGCTCCGGGGCGGCTTGGGAGAGCATCGCGACGACCCGGGGCAGCTGGGGAGAGCATCGCGACGCTCTGGGGCGTCCGGGGAGAGCATCGCGATGCTCTGGGGCGTCCGGGGAGAGCATCGCGACGCTCCGGGGCGTCCGGGGAGAGCATCGCGACGCTCTGGGGCGGCCGGGGAGAGCATCGCGACGCTCCGAGGCGTCCAGGGAGAGCATCGCGACGCTCTGGGGCGGCCGGGGAGAGCATCGCGACGCTCTGTGGCGTCCAGGGAGAGCATCGCGATGCTCTGGGGCGTCCTGGGAGGGCATCGCGACGCTCTGGGGCGTCCTGGGAGAGCATCGCGTTGCTCCGGGGCGGCTGGGGAGAGCATCGCGACGCTCTGGGGCGTCCCGGGAGAGCATCGCGACGCTCTGGGGCGTCCGGAGAGAGCATCACGACGCTCTAGGGCGTCCGGGGAGAGCATCGCGACGCTCCGGGGCGTCTGGGGAGAACATCGCGATGCTTTGGGGCGTCTGGGGAGAGCATGGCGACGCTCCGGGGCGGCTGGGGAGAGCATCGCGACGCTCTGGGGCGTCCGGGGAGAGCATCGCGACGCACCGGGGCATCAGGGGAGAGCATCGCGACGCTCCGGGGCGTCCGGGGAGAGCATCGCGACGCTCCGGGGTGGCCGGGGAGAGCATCGCGACGCTCCGGGGCGTCCGGGGAGAGCATGGCGACGCTCCGGGGTGGCCGGGGAGAGCATCGCGACGCTCCGGGGCGTCCGGGGAGAGCATCGCGACGCTCCGGGGCGGCCGGGGAGAGCATCGCGACGCTCTGGGGTGTCTGGGGAGAGCATCGCGACGCTCCGGGGCGTCCTAGGAGAGCATCGCGACGCTCTGGGGCGTCCGGGGAGAGCATCGCGACGCTCTGGGGCGTCCGGGGAGAGCATCGCGACGCTCCGGGGCGGCTGGGGAGAGCATCGCGACGCTCTGGGGCGTCCGGGGAGAGCATCGCGACGCTCCGGGGCGTCCGGAGAGAGCACGCGACACTCCGGGGCGGCTGGGGAAATCATCGCGACGCTCCGGGGCGTCCGGGGAGAGCATCGCGACGCTCTGGGGCGTCCGGGGAGAGCATCGCGACACCCTGGGGCGTCCGGGGAGATCATCGCGATGCTCCGGGGCGGCCGAGGAGAGCATCGCGACGCTCTAGGCCGTTCGGGGAGAGCATCGCGACGCTCTGGGCCGTCCGGAAAGAGCATCGCGACGCTCCGGGGCAGCTGGGGAGAGCATTGCGACGCTCCGGGGCGTCCGGGGAGAGCATCGCGACGCTCCGGGGCGTCCCGGGAGAGCATCGCAACGCTCCAGGGCGTCCGGGGAGAGTATCGCGACGCTCCGGGGCGTCCGGGGAGAGCATCTCGACGCTCCGGGGCGGCTGGGGAGAGCCTCCCGACGCTCCGGGGCGGCCGGGGAGATCATCGCGACGCTCCGAGGCGTTCGGGGAGAGCATCGTGACGCTTCTGGGCGGCTGGGGAGAGCATCGCGACGCTCCGGGGCGTCCGTGGAGAGCATCGCGACGCTCTGGGGCGTCCGAGGAGAGCATCACGACGTTCCGGACGTCCGAGGAGAGCATCGCGACGCTCCGGGGCGGCTGGGGAGACCATCTCGACGCTCTTGGGCGTCCAGGGACAACAGCGCGACGCTCTGGGGCGGCTTGGGAGAGCATCGCGACACTCCGGGGCGTCTAGAGAGAGCATCACGACGCTCTGGGCCGTCCGGGGAGAGCATCGCGACGCTCTGGGGCGTCCAGGGAGAGCATCGCGACGCTCCGGGGCGGCCGGGGAGAGTATCGCAACGCTCTGGGGCGTCCGGGGAGAGCATCACGACGCTCTGGGGCGTCCGGGGAGAGCATCGTGATGCTCCGGGGCGGCTGGGGAGAGCATCGCGACGCTCTGGGGCGTCCGGGGCGAGCATCCCGACTGCTCCGGGGCGGCCGGGGAGAGCATCGCGTCGCTCCAGGGCGGCCGGGGAGAGTATCGCGACGCTCTGGGGCGTCCGGGGGGAGCATCGCGACGCTCTGGGGCGTCCGAGGAGAGCATCGCGACGCTCCGGGGCGGCTGGGGAGAGCATCGCGAGGCTCTGGGGCGTTCGGGGAGAGCATCGCGACGCTCCGGGGCGGCCGGGGAGAGCATCGCGACGCTCCGAGGCGTCCGGGGAGAGCATCGCGACGCTCTGGGGCGTCCGGGGAGAGCATCGCGACGCTCTGGGACGTCCGAGGAGAGCATCGCGACGCTCTGGGGCGTCCGGGGAGAGCATCGCGACGCTCTGGGGCGTCGTGGGAGAGCATCGCGACGCTCCGAGGTGGCTGGGGAGAGCATCGCAATGCTCTGGGGCGTCCGGGGAGAGCATCACGATGCTCTGGGGCGTGCAAGGAGAGCATCGAGACGCTCTGGGGCGTCCGGGGAGAGCATCGCGACGCTCTCAGGCGTCCGGGGAGAGCATTCCGACGCTCCGGGGCGTCCTGGGAGAGCATCGCGACGCTCCGGGGTGGCTGGGGAGAGCATCGCGACGCTCTGGGGCGTCCGGGGAGAGCATCGCAACGCTCTGGGGCGTCCGGGGAGAGCATCGCGACGCTCCGGGGCGTCCGGGGAGAGCATCCCGACGCTCTAGGGCGTCCGGGGAGAGCATCGCGACGCTCTGGGGCGTCCGGGGAGAGCATCGCGACGCTCTGGGGCGTCCAGGGAGAGCATCGCGACGCTCTGGGGCGGCCAAAGAGAGCATCGCGACTCTCCGAAGCGTCCGGGGAGAGCACCGCGACGCTCTGGGGCGTCCGGGGAGAGCATCTCGACGCTCCGGGGCGGCCGGGGAGATCATCGCGACGCTCCGAGGCGTCCGGGGAGAGCATCGTAATGCTTCTGGGCGGCTGGGGAGAGCATCGCGACGCTCCGGGGCGTCCGTAGAGAGCATCGCGACGCTCTGGGGCGTCCGAGGAGAGCATCGCGACGCTCCGGGGCGGCTGGGGAGAGCATCTCGACGCTCTTGGGCGTCCAGGGACAGCAGCGCGACGCTCCGGGGCGGCTTGGGAGAGCATCGCGACACTCCGGGGCGTCTGGGGAGAGCATCGCGACGCTCTGGGCCGTCCGGGAAGAGCATCGCGATGCTCTGGGGCGTCCAGGGAGAGCATCGCGACGCTCCGGGGCGGCCGGGGAGAGTATCGCGACGCTCTGGGGCGTCCGGGGAGAGCATCGCGACGCTCTGGGGCGTCCGGGGAGAGCATCGCGACGCTCCGGGGCGGCTGGGGAGAGCATCGCGACGCTCTGGGGCGTCCGGGGAGAGCATCGCGACGCTCTGGGGCGTCCGGGGAGATCATCGCGACGCTCCGGGGCGGCTGGGGAGAGCATCGCGACGCTCTAGTGCGTCCGGGGAGAGCATCGCGACGCTTCGGGGCGGCCGGGGAGAGCATCGCGACGCTCCGGGGCGTCCGGGGAGAGCATCGCGACGCTCCGGGGCGGCCGGGGAGAGTATCGCGACGCTCTGGGGCGTCCGGGGAGAGCATCGCGACGCTCTGCGGCATCCGGGGAGAGCATCGCGACGCTCCGGGGCGTCCAGGGAGAGCATCGCGACGCTCCGGGGCAGCCGGGGAGAGCATCGCGACGCTCCGGGGCGGCCGGGGAGAGCATCGCGACGCTCCTGGGCGGCCGGGGAGAGTATCGCGACGCTCTGGGGCGTCCGGGGAGAGCATCGCGATGCTCAAGGGCGTCCAGGGAGAGCATCGCGATGCTCCGGGGCGGCCGGGGAGAGTATCGCGACGCTCTGGGGCGTCCGGGGAGAGCATCGCGACGCTCTGGGGCGTCCGGGGAGAGCATCGCGACGCTCCGGGGCGGCTGGGGAGAGCATCGCGACGCTCTGGGGCGTCCGGGGAGAGCATCGCGACGCTCCGGGGCGGCCGGGGAGAGCATCGCGACGCTCCGGGGCGGCCGGGGAGAGTATCGCGACGCTCTGGGGCGTCCGGGGAGAGCATCGCGACGCTCTGGGGCGTCCGGGGGGAGCATCGCGACGCTCCGGGGCGGCTGGGGAGAGCATCGCGACGCACTAGGGCGTCCGGGGAGAGCATCGCGACGCTTCGGGTCGGCCGAGGAGAGCATCGCGACGCTCCGGGGCGTCCGGGGAGAGCATCGTGACGCTCTGGGGCGTCCGGGGAGAGCATCGCGACGCTCTGGGGCGTCCGAGGAGAGCATCGCGACGCTCTGGGGCGTCCGGGGAGAGCATCGCGACGCTCTGGGGCGTCCTGGGAGAGCATCGCGACGCTCCGGGGCGGCTGGGGAGACCATCGCGACGCTCTGGGGCGTCCGGGCAGAGCATCGCGACGCTCTGGGGCGTCCGAGGAGAGCATCGCGACGCTCCGGGGCGTCCGGGGAGAGCATCGCGACGCTCTAGGGCGTCCGGGGAGAGCATCGCGACGCTCTGGGGCGTCCGGGGAGAGCATCGCGACGCTCTGGGGCGTCCGGGGAGAGCATCGCGACGCTCTGGGGCGGCCAAAGAGAGCATCGCCACGCTCCGAAGCGTCCGGGGAGAGCATCGCGACGCTCTGGGGCGTCCGGGGAGAGCATCTCGACGCTCCGGGGCGGCTGGGGAGAGCCTCGCGACGCTCCCGGGCGGCCGGGGAGATCATCGCGACGCTCCGAGGCGTCCGGGGAGAGCATCGTGACGCTTCTGGGCGGCTGGGGAGAGCATCGCGACGCTCCGGGGCGTCCGTGGAGAGAATCGCGACGCTCTGGGGCGTCCGAGGAGAGCATCGCGACGCTCCGGGGCGGCTGGGGAGAGCATCTCGACGCTCTTGGGCGTCCAGGGACAGCAGCGCGACGCTCCGGGGCGGCTTGGGAGAGCATCGCGACACTCCGGGGCGTCAGGGGAGAGCATCGCGACGCTCTGGGCCGTCCGGGAAGAGCATCGCGATGCTCTGGGGCGTCCAGGGAGAGCATGGCGACGCTCCAGGGCGGCCGGGGAGAGTATCGCGACGCTCTGGGGCGTCCGGGGAGAGCATCGCGACGCTCTGGGGCGTCCGGGGAGAGCATCCCGACACTCCGGGGCGGCTGGGGAGAGCATCGCGACGCTCTGGGGCGTCCGGGGAGAGCATCGCGATGCTCCGGGGCGGCCGGGGAGAGCATCGCGACGCTCTGGGGCGGCCAAAGAGAGCATCGCCACGCTCCGAAGCGTCCGGAAGGAGCATCGCGACGCTCTGGGGCGTCCGGGGAGAGCATCTCGACGCTCCGGGGCGGCTGGGGAGAGCCTCGCGACGCTCCGGGGCGGCCGGGGAGATCATTGCGACGCTCCGAGGCGTCCGGGGAGAGCATCGTGACGCTTCTGGGCGTCTGGGGAGAGCATCGCGACGCTCCGGGGCGTCCGTGGAGAGCATCGCGACGCTCTGGGGCCTCCGAGGAGAGCATCGCGACGCTCCGGGGCGGCTGGGGAGAGCATCGCGACGCTCCGGGGCGTCCGTGGAGAGCATCGCGACGCTCTGGGGCGTCCGAGGAGAGCATCGCGACGCTCCGGGGCGGCTGGGGAGAGCATCTCGACGCTCTTGGGCGTCCAGGGACAGCAGCGCGACGCTCCGGGGCGGCTTGGGAGAGCATCGCGACACTCCGGGGCGTCAGGGGAGAGCATCGCGACGCTCTGGGCCGTCCGGGAAGAGCATCGCGATGCTCTGGGGCGTCCAGGGAGAGCATCGCGACGCTCCGGGGCGGCCGGGGAGAGTATCGCGACGCTCTGGGGCGTCCGGGGAGAGCATCACGACGCTCTGGGGCGTCCGGGGAGAGCATCGCGACGCTCCGGGGCGGCTGGGGAGAGCATCGCGACGCTCTGGGGCGTCCGGGGAGAGCATCGCGACGCTCCGGGGCGGCCGGGGAGAGCATCGCGACGCTCCGGGGCGGCCGGGGAGAGTATCGCGACGCTCTGAGGCGTCCGGGGAGAGCATCGCGACGCTCTGGGGCGTCCGGGGAGAGCATTGCGACGCTCCGGGGCGGCTGGGGAGAGCATCGCGATGCTCTAGGGCGTCCGGGGAGAGCATCGCGACGCTCCGGGGCGGCTGGGGAGAGCATCGCGACGCTCTGGTGCGTCCGGGGAAAGCATCGCGATGCTCTGGGGCGTCCGGGGAGAGCATCACGATGCTCTGGGGCGTCCGGGGAGAGCATCGGGACGCTCTGGGGCGTCCGGGGAGAGCATCGGGACGCTCTGGGGCGTCCGGGGAGAGCATCGCGACGCTCTCGGGCGTCCGGGGAGAGCATCGCGACGCTCCGGGGCGTCCTGGGAGAGCATCGCGACGCTCGGGGGTGGCTGGGGAGAGCATCGCGACGCTCCGGGGCGGCCGGGGAGAGCATCGCGACGCTCTGGGGCGTCCGGGGAGAGCATCGCGACGCTCTGGGTCGTCCAGGGAGAGCATCGCGATGCTCGGGGGCGGCTGGGGAGACCATCGCGACGCTCTGGGGCGTCCAGGAGAGCATCGCGACGCCCAGGGGCGTCCGGGGAGAGCATCGCGACCTCCAGGGCATCCGGGAAGAGCATCGCGACGCTCTAGGGCGTCCGGGGAGAGCATCGCGACGCTCTGGGGCGTCCGGGGAGAGCATCGCGACGCTCTGGGGCGTCCAGGGAGAGCATCGCGACGCTCTGGGGCGGCCAAAGAGAGCATCGCGACGCTCCGAAGCGTCCGGGGAGAGCATCGCGACGTTCTGGGGCGTCCGGGGAGAGCATCGCGACGCTCTGGGGCGTCCGGGGAGAGCATCGCGACGCTCCGGGGCAGCGGGGGAGAGGATCGCGTCGCTCCGGGTCGGCCGGGGAGAGCATCGCGACGCTCTGGGGCGTCCGGGGAGAGCACCGCGATGCTCTGAGGCGTCCAAGGAGAGCATCGCGACGCTGCGGGGCGGCTGGGGAGAGCATCGCGACGCTCTGGGGCGTCCGGGGAAAGCATCGCGATGCTCTGGGGCGTCCGGGGAGAGCATCACGATGCTCTGGGGCGTCCGGGGAGAGCATCGGGACGCTCTGGGGCGTCCGGGGAGAGCATCGGGACGCTCTGGGGCGTCCGGGGAGAGCATCGCGACGCTCTCGGGCGTCCGGGGAGAGCATCGCGACGCTCCGGGGCGTCCTGGGAGAGCATCGCGACGCTCGGGGGTGGTTGGGGAGAGCATCGCGACGCTCCGGGGCGGCCGGGGAGAGCATCGCGACGCTCTGGGGCGTCCGGGGAGAGCATCGCGACGCTCTGGGGCGTCCAGGGAGAGCATCGCGATGCTCGGGGGCGGCTGGGGAGACCATCGCGACGCTCTGGGGCGTCCAGGAGAGCATCGCGACGCCCAGGGGCGTCCGGGGAGAGCATCGCGACCTCCAGGGCATCCGGGAAGAGCATCGCGACGCTCTAGGGCGTCCGGGGAGAGCATCGCGACGCTCTGGGGCGTCCGGGGAGAGCATCGCGACGCTCTGGGGCGTCCAGGGAGAGCATCGCGACGCTCTGGGGCGGCCAAAGAGAGCATCGCGACGCTCCGAAGCGTCCGGGGAGAGCATCGCGACGTTCTGGGGCGTCCGGGGAGAGCATCGCGACGCTCTGGGGCGTCCGGGGAGAGCATCGCGACGCTCCGGGGCAGCTGGGGAGAGGATCGCGTCGCTCCGGGTCGGCCGGGGAGAGCATCGCGACGCTCTGGGGCGTCCGGGGAGAGCACCGCGATGCTCTGAGGCGTCCAAGGAGAGCATCGCGACGCTGCGGGGCGGCTGGGGAGAGCATCGCGACGCTCTGGGGCGTCCGGGGAAAGCATCGCGATGCTCTGGGGCGTCCGGGGAGAGCATCGCGACGCTCCAAGGCGTCCGGGGAGAGCATCGCGACGCTCCGGGCGTCCGGGGAGAGCATCGCGACGCTCTGGGGCGTCCGGGGAGAGCATCGCGACGCTCCGGGGCGTCCGGGGAGAGCATCGCGACGCTCTGGAGCGTCCGGGGAGAGCATCGTGACGCTCCGGGGCGTCCGAGGAGAGCATCGCGACGCTCCGGGGCTTCCGGGGAGAGCATCTCGACGCTCCGGGGCGGCCGGGGAGAGCATCGCGACGCTCTGTGGCGTCCAGAGAGAGCATCGCGACGCTCTGGGGCGTCCGGGGAGAGCATCGCGACGCTCTGGGAGGTCCGGGGAGAGCATCGCGACGCTCCGGGGCGTCCGCAGAGAGCATCGCGACGCTCCGGGGCGTCTGGGGAGAGCATCGCGACGCTCCGGGGCGTCCGGGGAGAGCATTGCGACGCTTCGGGGCGTCCGGGGAGAGCATCTCGACGCTCCGGGGCGGCTTGGGAGAGCATCGCGACGACCTGGGGCAGCTGGGGAGAGCATCGCGATGCTCTGGGGCGTCCGGGGAGAGCATCGCGACGCTCCGGGGCGGCCGGGGAGAGCATCGCGACGCTCCGAGGCGTCCGGGAAGAGCATCGCGACGCTCTGGGGCGGCCGGGGAGAGCATCACGACGCTCTGGGGCGTCCGGGGAGAGCATCGCGACGCTCTGGGGCGTCCTGGGGGAGCATCGCGAGGCTCCGGGGCGTCTGGGGAGAGCATCGCGACGCTCTGGGGCGTCCTAGGAGAGCATCGCGACTCTCTGGGGCGTCCGGGGAGAGCATCGCGACGCTCCGGGGCGGCTGGGGAGAGCATCGCGACGCTCTGGGGCGTCCGGGGAGAGCATCGCGACGCTCCGGGGCGGCTGGGGAGAGCATCGCGACGCTCTGGGGCGTCCGGAGAGAGCATCGCGACGCTCTGGGGCGTCCGGAGAGAGCATCACGACGCTCTAGGGCGTCCGGGGAGAGCATCGCGACGCTCCAGGGCGTCTGGGGAGAGCATCGCGATGTTCTGGGGCGTCTGGGGAGAGCATGGCGACGCTTCGGGGCGGCTGGGGAGAGCATCGCGACGCTCTGGGGCGTCCGGGGAGAGCATCGCGACGCTCCGGAGCATCAAGGGAGAGCATCGCGACGCTCCGGGGCGTCCGGGGAGAGCATCGCGACGCTCCGGGGCGACCGGGGAGAGCATCGCGACGCTCCGGGGCGTCCGGGGAGAGCATCCTGACGCTCTGGGGCGGCCAGGGAGAGCATCGCGACGCTCCGGGGCGTCTGGGGAGAGCATCGCGACGCTCTGGGGCGTCCTAGGAGAGCATTGCGACACTCTGGGGCGTCCGGGGAGAGCATCGCGACGCTCCGGGGCGGCTGGGGAGAGCATCGCGACGCTCTGGGGCGTCCGGGGAGAGCATCGCGACGCTCCGGGGCGGCCGGGGAGAGCATCGCGACGCTCCGAGGCGTCCGGGAAGAGCATCGCGACGCTCTGGGGCAGCCGGGGAGAGCATCGCGACGCTCTGGGGCGTCCTGGGGGAGCATCGCGACGCTCCGGGGCGTCTGGGGAGAGCATCGCGACGCTCTGGGGCGTCCTAGGGGAGCATTGCGACACTCTGGGGCGTCCGGGGAGAGCATCGCGACGCTCCGGGGCGGCTGGGGAGAGCATCGCGACGCTCTGGGGCGTCCGGGGAGAGCATCGCGACGCTCCGGGGCGGCCGGGGAGAGCATCGCGACGCTCCGAGGCGTCCGGGAAGAGCATCGCGACGCTCTGGGGCGGCCGGGGAGAGCATCGCGACGCTCTGGGGCGTCCTGGGGGAGCATCGCGACGCTCCGGGGCGTCTGGGGAGAGCATCGCGACGCTCTGGGGCGTCCTAGGAGAGCATCGCGACTCTCTGGGGCGTCCGGGGAGAGCATCGCGACGCTCCGGGGCGGCTGGGGAGAGCATCGCGACGCTCTGGGGCGTCTGGGGAGAGCATCGCGACGCTCCGGGGCAGCTGGGGAGAGCATCGCGACGCTCTGGGGCTTCCGGAGAGAGCATCGCGACGCTCTGGGGCGTCCGGAGAGAGCATCACGACGCTCTAGGGCGTCCGGGGAGAGCATCGCGACGCTCCGGGGCGTCTGGGGAGAGCATCGCGATGTTCTGGGGCGTCTGGGGAGAGCACGGCGACGCTCCAGGGCGGCTGGGGAGAGCATCGCGACGCTCTGGGGCGTCCGGGGAGAGCATCGCGACGCTCCGGGGCATCAGGGGAGAGCATCGCGACGCTCCGGGGCGTCCGGGGAGAGCATCGCGACGCTCCGGGGCGACCGGGGAGAGCATCGCGACGCTCCGGGGCGTCCGGGGAGAGCATCCTGACGCTCTGGGGCGGCCAGGGAGAGCATCGCGACGCTCCGGGGCGTCTGGGGAGAGCATCGCGACGCTCTGGGGCGTCCTAGGAGAGCATTGCGATACTCTGGGGCGTCCGGGGAGAGCATCGCGACGCTCCGGGGCGGCTGGGGAGAGCATCGCGACGCTCAGGGGCGTCCGGGGAGAGCATCGCGACGCTCCGGGGCGTCCGGGGAGAGCACGCGACACTCCAGGGCGGCTGGGGAAATCATCGCGACGCTCCGGGGCGTCCAGGGAGAGCATCGCGACGCTCTGGGGCGTCCGAGGAGAGCATCGCGACGCCCTCGGGCGTCTGGGGAGAGCATCGCGATGCTCCGGGGCGTCCTGGGGGAGCATCGCGACGCTCCGGGGCGTCTGGGGAGAGCATCGCGACGCTCTGGGGCGTCCTAGGAGAGCATCGCGACTCTCTGGGGCGTCCGGGGAGAGCATCGCGACGCTCCGGGGCGGCTGGGGAGAGCATCGCGACGCTCTGGGGCGTCCGGGGAGAGCATCGCGACGCTCCGGGGCGGCTGGGGAGAGCATCGCGACGCTCTGGGGCGTCCGGAGAGAGCATCGCGACGCTCTGGGGCGTCCGGGGAGAGCATCGGGACGCTCCGGGGCGTCCGGGGAGAGCATCGCGACGTTCCGGGGCGTCCGGGGAGAAAATCGCGACGCTCTGGGGCGGCCGGGGAGGGCATCGCGACGCTCTGGGGCGTCCGGGGAGAGCATAGCAACGCTCGGGGGCGTCCGGGGAGAGCATCGCGACGCTCCAGGGCGGCTGGGGAGAACATCGCGACGCTCTGGGGCGTCCGAGGAGAGCATCGCGACGCTCCGGGGCGGCTGGGGAGAGCATCGCGACGCTCTGGGGCGTCCGGAGAGAGCATCGCGACGCTCTGGGGCGTCCGGAGAGAGCATCACGACGCTCTAGGGCGTCCGGGGAGAGCATCGCGACGCTCCGGGGCGTCTGGGGAGAGCATCGCGATGTTCTGGGGCGTCTGGGGAGAGCATGGCGACGCTCCGGGGCGGCTGGGGAGAGCATCGCGACGTTCTGGGGCGTCCGGGGAGAGCATCGCGACGCTCCGGGGCATCAGGGGAGAGCATCGCGACGCTCCGGGGCGTCCGGGGAGAGCATCGCGACGCTCCGGGGCGACCGGGGAGAGCATCGCGACGCTCCGGGGCGTCCGGGGAGAGCATCCTGACGCTCTGGGGCGGCCAGGGAGTGCATCGCCACGCTCCGGGGCGTCTGGGGAGAGCATCGCGACGCTCTGGGGCGTCCTAGGAGAGCATTGCGACACTCTGGGGCGTCCGGGGAGAGCATCGCGACGCTCCGGGGCGGCTGGGGAGAGCATCGCGACGCTTTGGGGCGTCCGGGGAGAGCATCGCGACGCTCCGGGGCGGCCGGGGAGAGCATCGCGACGCTCCGAGGCGTCCGGGAAGAGCATCGCGACGCTCTGGGGCGGCCGGGGAGAGCATCGCGACGCTCTGGGGCGTCCGGGGAGAGTATCGCGACGCTCTGGGGCGTCCTGGGGGAGCATCGCGACGCTCCGGGGCGTCTGGGGAGAGCATCGCGACGCTCTGGGGCGTCCTAGGAGAGCATCGCGACTCTCTGGGCCGTCCGGGGAGAGCATCGCGACGCTCCGGGGCGGCTGGGGAGAGCATCGCGACGCTCTGGGGCGTCCGGGGAGAGCATCGCGACGCTCCGGGGCGGCTGGGGAGAGCATCGCGACGCTCTGGGGCGTCCGGAGAGAGCATCGCGACGCTCTGGGCATCCGGAGAGAGCATCACGACGCTCTAGGGCGTCCGGGGAGAGCATCGCGACGCTCCGGGGCGTCTGGGGAGAGCATCGCGATGTTCTGGGGCGTCTGGGGAGAGCATGGCGACGCTCCGGGGCGGCTGGGGAGAGCATCGCGACGCTCTGGGGCGTCCGGGGAGAGCATCGCGACGCTCCGGGGCATCAGGGAGAGCATCGCGACGCTCCGGGGCGTCTGGGGAGAGCATCGCGACGCTCTGGGGCGTCCTAGGAGAGCATTGCGACACTCTGGGGCGTCCGAGGAGAGCATCGCGACGCTCCGGGGCGGCTGGGGAGAGCATCGCGACGCTCTGGGGCGTCCGGGGAGAGCATCGCGACGCTCCGGGGCGTCCGGGGAGAGCACGCGACGCTCCGGGGCGGCTGGGGAAATCATCGCGACGCTCCGGGGCGTCCAGGGAGAGCATCGCGACGCTCTGGGGCGTCCGGGGAGAGCATCGCGACGCCCTCGGGCGTCTGGGGAGAGCATCGCGATGCTCCGGGGCGGCCGGGGAGAGCATCGCGACGCTCTAGGCCGTCCGGGGAGAGCATCGCGACGCTCTGGGCCGTCCGGAAAGAGCATCGCGACGCTCCGAGGCAGCTGGGGAGAGCATTGCGACGCTCCGGGGCGTCCGGGGAGAGCATCGCGACGCTCCGGGGCGTTTCGGGAGAGCATCGCAACGCTCCAGGGCGTCCGGGGAGAGCATTGCAACGCTCCGGGGCGTCTGGGGAGAGCATCTCGACGCTCCGGGGCGGCTGGGGAGAGCCTCGCGACGCTCCGGGGCAGCCGGGGAGAGCATCGCGACGCTCCGGGGCGTCCGGGGAGATCATCGCGACGCTCCGAGGCATCCGGGGAGAGCATCGCGACGCTCCGGGGCGTCCGTAGAGAGCATCGCGACGCTCTGGGGCGTCCGAGGAGAGCATCGCGACGCTCCAGGGCGGCTGGGGAGAGCATCTCGACGCTCTTGGGCGTCCAGGGACAGCACCGCGACGCTCCGGGGTGGCTTGGGAGAGCATCGTGACACTCCGGGGCGTCTGGGGAGAGCATCGCGACGCTCTGGGCCGTCCGGGAAGAGCATCGCGATGCTCTGGGGCGTCCATGGAGAGCATCGCGACGCTCCGGGGCGGCCGGAGAGAGTATCGCGACGCTCTGGGGCGTCCGAGGAGAGCATCGCGACGCTCTGGGGCGTCCGGGGAGAGCATCGCGACGCTCCGGGGCGGCTGGGGAGAGCATCGCGACGCTCTGGGGCGTCCGGGGAGAGCATCGCGACGCTCCGGGGCGTCCGGGGAGAGCATCGCGACGCTCTGGGGCGGCCGGGGAGAGCATCGCGACGCTCCGAGGCGTCCGGGGAGAGCATCGCGACGCTCTGGGGCGGCCGGGGAGAGCATCGCGACGCTCTGGGGCGTCCGGGGAGAGCATCGCGATGCTCTGGGGCGTCCTGGGAGGGCATCGCGACGCTCTGGGGCGTCCTGGGAGAGCATCGCGTTGCTCCGGGGCGGCTGGGGAGAGCATCGCGACGCTCTGGGGCGTCCGGGGAGAGCATCGCGACGCTCTGGGGCGTCCGGAGAGAGCATCACGACGCTCTAGGGCGTCCGGGGAGAGCATCGCGACGCTCCGGAGCGTCTGGGGAGAACATCACGATGCTCTGGGGTGTCTGGGGAGAGCATGGCGACGCTCCGGGGCGGCTGGGGAGAGCATCGCGACGCTCTGGGGCGTCCGGGGAGAGCATCGCGACGCTCCGGGGCATCAGGGGAGAGCATCGCGACGCTCCGGGGCGTCCGGGGAGAGCATCGCGACGCTCCGGGGCGGCCGGGGAGAGCATCGCGATGCTCCGGGGCGTCCGGGGAGAGCATCCCGACGCTCTGGGGCGGCCGGGGAGAGCATCGCGATGCTCCGGGGCGTCTGGGGAGAGCATCGCGACGCTCTGGGGCGTCCTAGGAGAGCATCGCGACGCTCTGGGGCGTCCGGGGAGAGCATCGCGACGCTCCGGGGCGTCCATGGAGAGCATCGCGACGCTCCGGGGCGGCCGGGGAGAGTATCGCGACGCTCTGGGGCGTCCGAGGAGAGCATCGCGACGCTCTGGGGCGGCCGGGGAGAGCATCGCGACGCTCCGGGGCGTCTGGGGAGAGCATCGCGACGCTCTGGGGCGTCCTAGGAGAGCATCGCGACGAACTGGGGCGTCCAGGGAGAGCATCGCGACGCTCCGGGGCGGCTGGGGAGAGCATCGCGACGCTCTGGGGCGTCCGCGGAGAGCATCGCGACGCTCCGGGGCGTCCGGGGAGAGCATGTGACACTCCGGGGCGGCTGGGGAAATCATCGCGACGCTCCGGGGCGTCCGGGGAGAGCATCGCGACGCTCTGAGGCGTCCGGGGAGAGCATCGCGACACCCTGGGGCGTCCGGGGAGATCATCGCGATGCTCCGGGGCGGCCGGGGAGAGCATCGCGACGCTCTAGGCCGTCCGGGGAGAGCATCGCGACGCTCTGGGCCATCCGGAAAGAGCATCGCGACGCTCCGGGGCAGCTGGGGAGAGCATTGCGACGCTCCGGGGCGTCCGGGGAGAGCATCGCGACGCTCCGGGGCGTCCCGGGAGAGCATCGCAACGCTCCAGGGCGTCCGGGGAGAGTATCGCGACGCTCCGGGGCGTCCGGGGAGAGCATCTCGACGCTCCGGGGCGGCTGGGGAGAGCCTCGCGACGCTCCGGTGCGGTCGGGGAGATCATCGCGACGCTCCGAGGCGTCCGGGGAGAGCATCGTGACGCTTCTGGGCGGCTGGGGAGAGCATCGCGACGCTCCGGGGCGTCCGTGGAGAGCATCGCGACGCTCTGGGGCGTCCGAGGAGAGCATCACGACGCTCCGGGGCGTCCGAGGAGAGCATCGCGACGCTCCGGGGCGGCTGGGGAGACCATCTCGACGCTCTTGGGCGTCCAGGGACAGCAGCGCGACGCTCTGGGGCGTCCGGGGGGAGCATCGCGACGCTCTGGGGCGTCCGAGGAGAGCATCGCGACGCTCCGGGGCGGCTGGGGAGAGCATCGCGAGGCTCTGGGGCGTTCGGGGAGAGCATCGCGACGCTCCGGGGCGACCGGGGAGAGCATCGCGACGCTCCGGGGCGTCCGGGGAGAGCATCGCGACGCTCTGGGGCGTCCGGGGAGAGCATCGCGACGCTCTGGGACGTCCGAGGAGAGCATCGCGACGCTCTGGGGCGTCCGGGGAGAGCATCGCGACGCTCTGGGGCGTCCTGGGAGAGCATCGCGACGCTGCGGGGTGGCTGGGGAGAGCATGGCAACGCTCTGGGGCGTCCGGGGAGAGCATTGCGACGCTCTCAGGCGTCCGGGGAGAGCATCGCGACGCTCCGGGGCGTCCTGGGAGAGCATCGCGACGCTCCGGGGTGGCTGGGGAGAGCATCGCGACGCTCTGGGGTGTCCGGGGAGAGCATCGCAACGCTCTGGGGCGTCCGGGGAGAGCATCGCGACGCTCCGGGGCGTTCGGGGAGAGCATCGCGACGCTCTAGGGCGTCCGGGGAGAGCATCGCGACGCTCTGGGGCGTCCGGGGAGAGCATCCCGACGCTCTGGGGCGTCCGGGGAGAGCATCGCGACGCTCCGGGGCGGCCAAAGAGAGCATCGCGACTCTCCGAAGCGTTCGGGGAGAGCATCGCGACGCTCTGGGGCGTCCGGAGAGCATCTCGACGCTCCGGGGCGGCTGGGGAGAGCCTCGCGACGCTCCGGGGCGGCCGGGGAGATCATTGCGACGCTCCGAGGCGTCCGGGGAGAGCATCGTGACGCTTCTGGGCGGCTGGGGAGAGCATCGCGATTCTCCGGGGCGTCCGTGGAGAGCATCGCGACGCTCTGGGGCGTCCGAGGAGAGCATCGTGACGCTCCGGGGCGGCTGGGGAGAGCATCTCGACGCTCTTGGGCGTCCAGGGACAGCAGCGCGACGCTCCGGGGCGGCTTGTGGAGAGCATCGCGACGCTCTGGGCCGTCCGGGAAGAGCATCGCGATGCTCTCGGGCGTCCAGGGAGAGCATCGCGACGCTCTGGGGCGGCCGGGGAGAGTATCGCGACGCTCTGGGGCGTCCGGGGAGAGCATCGCGACGCTCTGGGGCGTCCGGGGAGAGCATCGCGACGCTCCGGGGCGGCTGGGGAGAGCATCGCGACGCTCTGGGGCGTCTGGGGAGAGCATCTCGACGCTCCGGGGCGGCTGGGGAGAGCCTCGCGACGCTCCGGGGCGGCCGGGGAGATCATCGCGACGCTCTGAGGCGTCCGGGGAGAGCATCGTGACGCTTCTGGGCGGCTGGGGAGAGCATCGCGACGCTCCGAGGCGTCCGTGGAGAGCATCGCGACGCTCTGGGGCGTCCGAGGAGAGCATCGCGACGCTCTGGGGCGGCTGGGGAGAGCATCTCGACGCTCTTGGGCGTCCAGGGACAGCAGCGCGACGCTTCGGGGCGGCTTGGGAGAGCATCGCGACACTCCGGGGCGTCAGGGGAGAGCATCGCGACGCTCTGGGCCGTCCGGGAAGAGCATCGCAATGCTCTGGGGCGTCCAGGGAGAGCATCGCGACGCTCCGGGGCGGCCGGGGAGAGTATCACGACGCTCTGGGGCGTCCGGGGAGAGCATCGCGACGCTCTGGGGCGTCCGGGGAGAGCATCGCGACGCTCCGGGGCGGCTGGGGAGAGCATCGCGACGCTCTGGGGCGTCCGGGGAGAGCATCGCGACGCTCCGGGGCGGCCGGGGAGAGCATTGCGACGCTCCGGGGCGGCCGGGGAGAGTATCGCGACGCTCTGAGGCGTCCGGGGAGAGCATCGCGACGCTCTGGGGCGTCCGGGGAGAGCATTGCGAAGCTCCGGGGCGGCTGGGGAGAGCATCAAGACGCTCTAGGGCGTCCGGGGAGAGCATCGCGACGCTCTGGGGCGTCCGGGGAGAGCATCGCGACGCTCCGGGGCGGCTGGGGAGAGCATCGCGACGCTCTGGGGCGTCCGGGGAGAGCATCGCGACGCTCCGGGGCGGCCGGGGAGAGCATTGCGACGCTCCGGGGCGGCCGGGGAGAGTATCGCGACGCTCTGAGGCGTCCGGGGAGAGCATCGCGACGCTCCGGGGCGGCCGGGGAGAGCATCGCGACGCTCCGGGGCGTCCGGGGAGAGCATCGCGACGCTCTGGGGCGTCCGGGGAGAGCATCGCGACGCTCTGTGGCGTCTGAGGAGAGCATCGCGACGCTCTGGGGCGTCCGGGGAGAGCATCGCTACGCTCTGGGGCGTCCTGGGAGAGCATCGCGACGCTCCGGGGCGGCTGGGGAGAGCATCGCGACGCTCTGGGGCGTCCGGGGAAAGCATCGCGATGCTCTGGGGCGTCCGGGGAGAGCATCACGATGCTCTGGGGCGTCCAGGGAGAGCATCGGGACGCTCCGGGGCGGCTGGGGAGAGCATCGCGACGCTCCGGGGCGTCCGGGGAGAGCATCGCGACGCTCCGGGGCGTTTCGGGAGAGCATCCCAACGCTCCAGGGCGTCCGGGGAGAGCATCGCGACGCTCCGGGGCGTCTAGGGAGAGCATCTCGACGCTTCGGGGCGGCTGGGGAGAGCCTCGCGACGCTCTGGGGCAGCCGGGGAGAGCATCGCGACGCTCCGGGGCGTCTGGGGAGATCATCGCGACGCTCCGGGGCGTCCGCGGAGAGCATCGTGACGCTTCTGGGCGGCTGGGGAGAGCATCGCGACGCTCCGGGGCGTCCGTAGAGAGCATCGCGACGCTCTGGGGCGTCCGAGGAGAGCATCGCGACGCTCCGGGGTGGCTGGGGAGAGCATCTCGACGCTCTTGGGCGTCCAGGGACAGCACCGCGACGCTCCGGGGTGGCTTGGGAGAGCATCGCGACACTCCGGGGCGTCTGGGGAGAGCATCGCGACGCTCTGGGCCGTCCGGGAAGAGCATCGCGATGCTCTGGGGCGTCCATGGAGAGCATCGCGACGCTCCGGGGCGGCCGGGGAGAGTATCGCGACGCTCTGGGGCGTCCGAGGAGAGCATCGCGACGCTCTGGGGCGTCCGGGGAGAGCATCGCGACGCTCCGGGGCGACTGGGGAGAGCATCGCGACGCTCTGGGGCGTCCGGGGAGAGCATCGCGACGCTCCGGGGCGGCCGGGGAGAGCATCGCGACGCTCCGAGGCGGCCGGGGAGAGTATCGCGACGCTCTGGGGCGTCCGGGGAGAGCATCGCGTCGCTCTGGGGCGTCCGGGGAGAGTGTCGCGACGCTCCGAGGCGGCTGGGGAGAGCATCGCGATGCTCTGGGGCGTCCGGGGAGAGCATCGCGACGCCTGGGGCGGTCGGGGAGAGCATCCCGACGCTCCGGGGCGTCCGGGGAGAGCATTGCGACGCTCTGGGGCGTCCGGGGAGAGCATCGCGACGCTCTGGGGCGTCCGAGGAGAGCATCGCGACGCTCTTGGGCGTCCGGGGAGAGCATCGGGACGCTCTGGGGCGTCCTGGGAGAGCATCGCGACGCTCCGGGGTGGCTGGGGAGAGCATCGCGACGCTCTGGGGCGTCCGGGGAGAGCATCATGACGCTCTAGGGCGTCCGGGGAGAGCATCGCGACGCTCCGGAGCGTCCGGGGAGAGCATCGCGACGCTCCGGGGCGTCCGGGGAGAGCATCACGACGCTCCGGGGCGTCCGGGGAGAGCATCGCGACGCTCCGGGGCGGCCGGGGAGAGCATCGCGACGCTCAGGGGCGTCTGGGGAGAGCATCGCGATGCTCTGGGGCGGCTGGGGAGAGCATCGCGACGCTCTGGGGCGTCCGGGGAGAGCATCGCGACGCTCCGGGGCGGCCTTGGAGAGCATCGCGACGCTCTTGGGCGTCCGGGAAGAGCATCGCGACGCTCCGGGGCGTCCGGGGAGAGCATCGCGACGCTCCGGGGCGTCCGGGGAGAGCATCGCGTTGCTCTGGGGCGTCCGGGGAGAGCATCGTGTTAGAGACTAAGGACGGAGTCTACGAAGATTAGGTGCCTGAAATTCTCAAAATCGTTGGCTTAGAATTCTGGACAGAAAAGTCGCGCTCACAAGAAACGCCGTCGATGAAAAGTTCACCGTCAGAACTTCACTAAACTCAGATATGTTGTAGCCCTAGTCCGTGACTACAATTCTTGAGTTATCAATTTCGGCACACTAGGGGGTATGCTGCCATAGACTCTTAACTCAATCACAATTGTCTCACAATTACACAATTACTACACAACAGAGTTAGAGTAGCACTAAACCAGGTGGGATGGGATGAGGAGGACGAGAGGGAAGGTCCCAAGAAAGTCCCCAACCAAGGAAACCCCATGCCACACAATTCCCCTCTCCATAGGCAACCCCACTTTCACTTTTGTCACTTTCCCAACCCATGCCATCCACCTTGCCCAACTTGGCCACACTTTCCAGCCTGGTTTGGTTTCTCCCAACCATTTGGCAGCAACTACAGTAGAAAAGACGAATTTCCCAACCCCCAAAAGTCTGTACCCCATATTGAGTCAACCCAACAACTTCCCACAGTTGTTATAATCAAATATGAAAAGCATACGAACTCCAACGTTCGTAACTTTCTTGTTCGTGCTCCGATTGAAGCGATACTTGGTTCGTCGGAAAGCTCTTGAGCAGAGGAGTCACATCAGATATCTTCTCAAGCCAAACAACATTCACACAGACTCAGAGAAACCAAACCACATCATACACAAATTCTTGCACACGCTCACACCACGCATGCAACGCACGAACATGTGATGGGAGGCAGACAGACGTGAATGCAAGTGATAGCATCACATAACACACCGCGACGCTCCGGGGCGGCTGGGGAGAGCATCGCGACGCTCCGGGGCGGCCTGGGAGAGCATCGCGATGCTCTGGGGCGTCCGGGGAGAGCATCGCGACGCTCCGGGGCGTCCGGGGAGAGCATCGCGACGCTCCGGGGCGTCCGGGGAGAGCATCGCGACCCTCCGGGGCGTCCGGGGAGAGCATCGCGGCGCTCCGGGGCGTCCGGGGAGAGCATCGCGACGCTCCGGGGCGTCCGAGCAGAGCATCGCGACGCTCCGGGGCGGCTGGGGAGAGCATCGCGACACTCTGGGGCGTCCGGGGAGAACATCGTGACGCCCCGGGGCGTCCGGGGAGAGCATCGCGATGCTCTGGGGCGTCCGGGGAGAGCATCGCGACGCTCTAGGCCATCTGAAGAGAGCATCGCGACGCTCTGGGCCGTCCGGAAAGAGCATCGCGACGCTCCGGGGCAGCTGGGGAGAGCATCGCGACGCTCTGGGGCGTCCAAGGAGAGCATCACGACGCTCTGGGGAGAATGGGGCGGGGTGATGGAAAGCGGGAGAATGGGGCGGGGTGATGGAAAGCGGGAGAATGGGGCGGGGTGATGGAAAGCGGGAGAATGGGGCGGGGTGATGGAAAGCGGGAGAATGGGGCGGGGTGATGGAAGGCGGGAGAATGAGGCGGGGTGATGGAAAGCGGGAGAATGGGGCGGGGTGATGGAAAGCGGGAGAATGGGGCGTGGTGATGGAAAGCGGGAGAATGGGGCGGGGTGATGGAAAGCGGGAGAATGGGGCGGGGTGATGGAAAGCGGGAGAATGGGGCGGGGTGATGGAAAGCGGGAGAATGGGGCGGGGTGATGGAAAGCGGGAGAATGGGGCGGGGTGATGGAAAGCGGGAGAATGGGGCGGGGTGATGGAAAGCGGGAGAATGGGGCGGGGTGATGGAAAGCGGGAGAATGGGGCGGGGTGATGGAAAGCGGGAGAATGGGGCGGGGTGATGGAAAGCGGGAGAATGGGGCGGGGTGATGGAAAGCGGGAGAATGGGGCGGGGTGATGGAAAGTGGGAGAATGGGGCGGGGTGATGGAAGGAGGGAGAATGGGGCGGGGTGATGGAAGGAGGGAGAATGGGGCGGGGTGATGGAAAGCGGGAGAATGGGGCGGGGTGATGGAAAGCGGGAGAATGGGGCAGGGTGATGGAAAGCGGGAGAATGGGGCGGGGTGATGGAAAGCGGGAGAATGGGGCGGGGTGATGGAAAGCGGGAGAATGGGGCGGGGTGATGGAAGGAGGGAGAATGGGGCGGGGTGATGGAAGGAGGGAGAATGGGGCGGGGTGATGGAAAGCGGGAGAACGGGGCGGGGTGATGGAAAGCGGGAGAATGGGGCGGGGTGATGAAAAGTGGGAGAATGGGGCGGGGTGATGGAAAGCGGGATAATGGGGCGGGGTGATGGAAAGCGGGAGAATGGGGTGGGGTAATGGAAAGCGGGAGAATGGGGCGGGTTGATGGAAAGCGGGAGAATGGGGCGGGGTGATGGAAGGAGGGAGAATGGGGCGGGGTGATGGAAAGCGGGAGAATGGGGCGGGGTGATGGAAGAAGGGGGAATGGGGCGGGGTGATGGAAAGCGGGATAATGGGGCGGGCTGATGGAAAGCGGGAGAATGGGGTGGGGTGATGGAAAGTGGGAGAATGGGGCGGGTTGATGGAAAGCGAGAGAATGGGGCGGGGTGATGGAAAGCGGGAGAATGGGGCGGGGTGATGGAAAGCGGGAGAATGGGGCGGGGTGATGGAAGAAGGGAGAATGGGGCGGGGTGATGGAAGGAGGGAGAATGGGGCGGGGTGATGGAAAGCGGGAGAATGGGGTGGGGTGATGGAAAGCGGGAGAATGGGGCGGGGTGATGGAAAGCGGGAGAATGGGGAGGGGTGATGGAAAGCGGGAGAATGGGGCGGGTTGATGGAAAGCGGGAGAATGGGGCGGGGTGATGGAAGGCGGGAGAATGGGGCGGGGTGATGGAAAGCGGGAGAATGGGGCGGGGTGATGGAAAGCGGGAGAATGGGGCGGGGTGATGGAAAGCGGGAGAATGGGACGGGGTGATAGAAAGCGGGAGAATGGGGCGGGGTGATGGAAAGCGGGAGAATGGGGCGGGTGATGGAAGGATGGAGAATGGGGCGGGGTGATGGAAGGAGGAAGAATGGGGCGGGGTGATGGAAAGCGGGAGAATGGGGCGAGGTGATGGAAGGAGGGAGAATGGGGCGGGGTGATGGAAAGCGGGAGAATGGGGCGGGGTGATGGAAAGCAGGAGAACATCGCAACACTCGGGGGCGTCCGGGGAGAGCATCGCGACGCTCCGGGGCGGCTGGGGAGAATATCGCGACGCTCTGGGGCGTCTGGGGAGAGCATCGTGACGCTCTGGGGCGTTCGGGGAGAGCAACGCGACTCTCCGGTGCGGTTGGGGAGAGCATCGCGACGCTCTGGGGCGTCCGGGGAGAGCATCGCAACGCTCTGGGGCGTCCGGGGAGAGCATCGCGACGCTCCGGGGCGTCCGGGGAGAGCATCGCGACGCTCTGGGGCGTCTGGGGAGAGCATCGCGACGCTCCGGGGTGGCTGGGCAGAGCATCGCGACGCTCCAGGGCGTCCGGGGAGAGCATCGCGACGCTCCGGGGCGGCCGAGGAGAGCATCGCAACGTTCTGGGGCGGCTGGGGAGAGCATCGCAACGCTCTGGGGCTTACGGGGAGAGCATCACGACGCTGTGGGGCGTCCGGGGAGAGCATCGCGACGCTCCGGGTCGTCCGGGGAGAGCATCGCGACGCTCCAGGGCGTCCAGGGAGAGCATCGCGACACTCCGGGGCGGCCGGGGAGAGCATCGCGACCCTCTCGGGCGTCCGGGGAGAATATCGCAACGCACGGGGGCGTCCGGGGAGAGCATCGCGACGCTCCGGGGCGGCTGGGGAGAACATTGCGACGCTCTGGGGCGGCCCAAGAGAGCATCACAACGCTCCGGGGCGGCTGGGGAGAACATTGCGACGCTCTGGGGTGTCCGGGGAGAGTATCGCGACGCTCTAGGCCGTCCGGGGAGAGCATCGCGACGCTCCGGGGCGGCTGGGGAGAGCATCGCGACGCTCTGGGGCGTCCGGAGAGAGCATCGCGACGCTCTGGGGCGTCCGGGGAGAGCATCGGGACGCTCCGGGGCGTCCGGGGAGAGCATCGCGACGTTCCGGGGCGTCCGGGGAGAAAATCGCGACGCTCTGGGGCGGCCGGGGAGGGCATCGCGACGCTCTGGGGCGTCCGGGGAGAGCATAGCAACGCTCGGGGGCGTCCGGGGAGAGCATCGCGACGCTCCAGGGCGGCTGGGGAGAACATCGCGACGCTCTGGGGCGTCCGAGGAGAGCATCGCGACGCTCTGGGGCGTTTGGGGAGAGCATCGCGACACTCCGGTGCGGCTGGGGAGAGCATCGCGACGCTCTGGGGCGTCCGGGGAGAGCATCGCAACGCTCTGGGGCGTCCGGAGAGAGCATCGCGACGCTCTGGGGCGTCCAGGAAGAGCATCGCGACACTCTGGGGCGTCCGGGGAGAGCATCGCAACGCTCCGGGGCGTCCGGGGAGAGCATCGCGATGCTCCGGGGCGTCCGGGGAGAGCATCGCGACGCTCTGGGGCATCCGGGGAGAGCATCGCGACGCTTCGGGGCGGCTGGGGAGAGCATCGCGACGCTCCGGGGCGTCCGGGGAGAGCATTGCGACGCTCCGGGGCGGCCGAGGAGAGCATCGCGACCCTCTAGGGCGTCCGGGGAGAGCATCGCAACGCTCGGGGGCGTCCGGGGAGAGCATCGCGACACTCCGGGGCGGCTGGGGAGAACATTGTGACGCTCTGGGGCGTCCGGAGAGAGCATCGCGACGCTCCGGGGCGGCTGGGGAGAACATCGCGACGCTCTGGGGCGTCTGGGGAGAGCATCGCGACGCTCTGGGGCGTTCAGGGAGTGCATCGCGACTCTCCGGTGCGGTTGGGGAGAGCATCGTGACGCTCTAGGGCGTCCGGGGAGAGCATCGCAACGCTCAGGGGCGTCCAGGGAGAGCATCGCGACGCTCTGGGGCGTCCGGGGAGAGCATCGCGACGCTCTGGGGCGTCCAGGGAGAGCATCACGACGCTCCGGGGCGTCCGGGGAGAGCATCGCGACGCTCCGAGGCGTCCAGGGAGAGCATCGCGATGCTCTGGGGCGTCCGGAGAGAGCATCGCGACGCTCCGGGGCAGCTGGGCAGAGCATCGCAACGCTCCGGGGCGTCCGAGGAGAGCATCGCGACGCTCCGGGGCGGCCGGGGAGAGCATCGCGACGCTCTGGGGCGCCTGGGGAGAGCATCGCGACGCTCTGGGGCGTACGGGGAGAGCATCGCGACGCTGTGGGGCGTCCGGGGAGAGCATCGCGACGCTCCGGGTCGTCCGGGGAGAGCATCGCGACGCTCCGGGGCGTCCGGGAAAGAGCATCGCGACGCTCCAGGGCGGCTAGGGAGAGCATCGCGACGCTCTGGGGCGGCTGGGGAGAGCATCGCGACGCTCTGGGGCGTACGGGGAGAGCTTCGCAACGCTCGGGGGCGTCCGGGGAGAGCATCGCGACGCTCCGGGGCGGCTGGGGAGAACATTGCGACGCTCTGGGGCGTCCGGGGAGAGCATCGCGACGCTCTGGGGCGCTCGGGGAGATCATTGCGACGCTCCGGTGCGGCCGGGGAGAGCATCGTGATGCTCTGGAGCGTCCAGGGAGAGCATCTCGACGCTCTGGGGCGTCCGGGGCTAGCATCGCGACGCTCCGGGGCGTCCGAGGAGAGCATCGCGACGCTCTGGGGCGTCCGGGGAGAGCATCGCGACGCTCTGGGGCGTCCGGGGAGAGCATCGCGACGCTCTGGGGCGGCCCAAGAGAGCATCGCGACGCTCCGGGGCAGCTGAGGAGAACATTGCGACGCTTCTCGGGCGTCAGGGGAGAGCATCGTGACGCTCTGGGCTGTCCGGGGAGAGCATCGCGACGCTCCGGGGCGGCTGGGGAGAGCATCGTGACGCTCTGGGGCGTCCGGAGAGAGCATCCCGACGCTCTGGGGCGTCCGGGGAGAGCATCGCGACGCTCCGGGGCGTCCGGGGAGAGCATCGCGACGCTCCGGGGCGTCCGGGGAGAGCATCGCGACGCTCCGGGGCGGCCGGGGAGAGCATCGCAACGCTCTGGGGCGTCCGGGGAGAGCATCGCAACGCTCGGGGGCGTCCGGGGAGAGCATCGTGTTGGTGCAACCCTACGGTTTGCACTCGGCTTGTTGTCCGTGTGCGTGAATGTGTGTGTGTATGGAATGGTATGAGGGCATGGGATAATATATATTTCATGCTTATAATTGTGTGTGAATGTTGAGTCATGATGTCGAGTGTGTGTGTCGAGTCAATAGCGAGTTATCGCTAGACGCGTGTTACGCGGTCGTTTGTGTCTCGCGCGCGGTTTCTATTTTGTCGTGCGCGGTTTCTATTTTGTCCTGTGTCGAACGTTCGGCGTGTCACAGGTGTGTGCAGCAGACCCATCAAGAACTCAAGGATGAGTTTGTGATGAAGAGCCCGAGCCTTGGTGTCAAGCCTCAAGTGATTTCGAAGCTTGCCAAAAGGGTACACCTCAAGATATTGAAGATAGTTACATTACTTTGTGTAGTGTAACATTTCACTTGGTGTAGGCCCTAGTGAAGGGTAGTTTCGAGACCCTTCGTGGTTGGGGACAGTGTGGCACTGTTCCACATCACTGTACCTCGGCTCTTGGGGTTTGTAGGAGCTGGGAGTCATTCCCAACTCGTAACTCTTCCTATCTTGTGTTCTAAGACTATAGTGGCTGCCATAGTACCGTTCGTTCAAACCGACGCTGTGTCGTCAATTCTTTATCAAATCGTGCAATCTAAATTGCTAATTCTAGACGACGTGAAGACGCTCCAGATCCAATTTGAATCAAGTCATTTGCAGCTGTGAGCAGAACGCTATCAACGTTTGAAGCCGCTGTGCAGAAATCCGTCTGTGCTCTCTATCTTTCGTTTTAGGCACATTCAAGCCTATTGTGACTATAACACATCGCGACGCTCCAGGGCGGCTGGGGAGAACATCGCGACGCTCTGGGGCGTCCTAAGCTGGAATAGCATCGCGACGCTCTGGGGTGTTCGGGGAGAGCATCGCGACACTCCGGTGCGGCTGGGGAGAGCATCGGGACGCTCTGGGGCGTCCGGAGAGAGCATCGCAACGCTCTGGGGCACCCGGAGAGAGCATCGCGACGCTCTGGGGCGTCCGGGGAGAGCATCGCGACGCTCTGGGGCGTCCGGGGAAAGCATCGCAACGCTCCGGGGCGTCCGGGGAGAGCATCGCGATGCATCGGGGCGTCCGAGGAGAGCATCGCGACGCTCTGGGGCGTACGGGGAGAGCATCGCGACGCTTCGGGGCGGCTGGGGAGAGCATCGCGACGCTCTGCGGCGTCCGGGGAGAGCATCGCGACGCTCCGGGGCGTCCGGGGAGAGCATCGCGACGCTTTGGGGCGTCCGGGGCTAGCATCGCGATGCTCCGGGGCGTCCGAGGAGAGCATCGCGACGCTCTGGGGCGTCTGAGGAGAGCATCGCGACGCTCTGCGGCATCCGGGGAGAGCATCACGACGCTCTGGGGCGGCCCAAGAGAGCATCGCGACGCTCCGGGGCGTCCAGGGAGAGCATCGCGACGCTATGGGGCGTCCGGGGAGAGCATCGCGACGCTATGGGGCGTCCGGGGAGAGCATCGGGACGCTCCGGGGCGGCTGGGGAGAGCATCGCGACGGTCCAGGGCGTCCGGGGAGAGCATCGCGACGCTCCAGGGCGTCCGGGGAGAGCATCGCGACGCTCCGGGGCGGATGGGGTGAGCATCGCGACGCTATGGGGCGGCTGCGGAGAGCATCGCGACGCTCTGGGGCGTCCGGGGAGAGCATCGCGATGCTCTGGGGCGTCCGGGGAGAGCATCGCGACGCTCTGGGGCGTCCGGGGAGAGCATCGCGACGCTCTGGGGCGGCCCAAGAGAGCATCGCGACGCTCCGGGGCGTCCGGGGAGAGCATCGCAACGCTCCGTGGCGTCCGGGGAGAGCATCGCGACGCTCTGGGGAGTCCGGGGAGAGCATCGCGACGCTCCGGGGCGGCCAGGGAGAGCATCGCGACGCTCCAGGGCGTTCGGGGAGAGCATCGCGACGCTCTGGGGCGTCCGGGGAGAGCATCGCGACGCTCTGGGGCGTCCGGGGAGAGCATCGCGACGCTCTGGGGCGTCCGGGGAGAGCATCGCGACGCATTGGGGCGTCCGGGGAGAGCATCGCGACGCTCTGAGGCGGCCCAAGAGAGCATCGCAACGTTCCGGGGCGTCCGGGGAGAGCATCGCAACGCTCCCGGGCGTCCGGGGAGAGCATCGCGACGCTCTGGGGCGTCCGGGGAGAGCATCGCGACGCTCCGGGGCGGCTGGGGAGAGCATCGTGACGCTCCAAGGCGGCCGGGGAGAGCATCGCAACACTCTGGGGCGTCCGGGGAGAGCATCGCGACGCTCTGGGGCGTCCGGGGAGAGCATCGCGACGCTCCGCGGCGTTCGGGGAGAGCATCGCGACGCTCCGGGGCGTCCGGGGAGAGCATCGCGTCGCTCCGGGGCGTCCGGGGAGAGCATCGCGACGCTCCGTGGCGTCCGGGGAGAGCATCGCGACGCTCTGGGGAGTCCGGGGAGAGCATCGCGACGCTCCGGGGCGGCCAGGGAGAGCATCGCGACGCTCCAGGGCGTTCGGGGAGAGCATCGCGACGCTCTGGGGCGTCCGGGGAGAGCATCGCGACGCTCTGGGGCGTCCGGGGAGAGCATCGCGACGCTCTGGGGAGTCCGGGGAGAGCATCGCGACGCTCCGGGGCGGCCAGGGAGAGCATCGCGACGCTCCAGGGCGTTCGGGGAGAGCATCGCGACGCTCTGGGGCGTCCGGGGAGAGCATCGCGACGCTCTGGGGCGTCCGGGGAGAGCATCGCGACGCTCTGGGGCGTCCGGGGAGAGCATCGCGACGCTTTGGGGCGTCCGGGGAGAGCATCGCGACGCTCTGAGGCGGCCCAAGAGAGCATCGCAACGTTCCGGGGCGTCCGGGGAGAGCATCGCAACGCTCCCGGGCGTCCGGGGAGAGCATCGCGACGCTCTGGGGCGTCCGGGGAGAGCATCGCGACGCTCTGGGGCGGCTGGGGAGAGCATCGCGACGCTCCAAGGCGGCCGGGGAGAGCATCGCAACACTCTGGGGCGTCCGGGGAGAGCATCGCGACGCTCTGGGGCGTCCGGGGAGAGCATCGCGACGCTCCGCGGCGTTCGGGGAGAGCATCGCGACGCTCCGGGGCGTCCGGGGAGAGCATCGCGTCGCTCCGGGGCGTCCGGGGAGAGCATCGCGACGCTCCGGGGCGTCCGGGGAGAGCATCGTGACGCTCCGGGGCGGCTGGGGAGAGCATCGCGTCGCTCCGGGGCGGCTGGGGAGAGCATGGCGACGCTCTGGGGCGTCCGGAGAGAGCATCGCGACGCTCCGGGCGTCCGGGTAGAGCATCACGACGCTCCGGGGCGTTCGGGGAGAGCATCGCGACTCTCTGGGGCGTCCGGGGAGAGCATCGCGATGCTCCGGGTCGTTCGTGGAGAGCATCGCGACGCTCCGGGGCGGCTGGGGAGAGCATCGCGACGCTCCGGGGCGGCCGGGGAGAGCATCGCGACGCTCTGGGGCGTCCGGGGAGAGCATCGCGACGCTCTGGGGCGTCCGAGGAGAGCGTCGCGACGCTCCGGGGTGTCCGGGGAGAGCATCGCCGCGCGCTGGGGCGGCCGGGGAGAGCATCGCGACGCTCCGGGCGTCCGGGGAGAGCATCACGACGCTCCGGGGCGTTCGGGGAGAGCATCGCGACGCTCTGGGGCGTCCGGGGAGAGCATCGCGATGCTCCGGGTCGTCCGGGGAGAGCATCGCGACGCTCCGGGGCGGCTGGGGAGAGCATCGCGACGCTCCGGGGCGGCCGGGGAGAGCATCGCGACGCTCTGGGGCGTCCGGGGAGAGCATCGCGACGCTCTGGGGCGTCCGAGGAGAGCGTCGCGACGTTCCGGGGTGTCCGGGGAGAGCATCGCCACGCGCTGGGGCGGCCGGGGAGAGCATCGCGACGCTCCGGTGCGGCTGGGGAGAGCATCGTGACGCTCTGGGGCGTCCGGGGAGAGCATCGCGACGCTCTGGGGCGGCCAAAGAGAGCATAGCGATGCTCCGGGACGGCTGGGGAGAGCATCGCAATGCTCCGGGGCGTTCGGGGAGAGCATCGCGACGCTCTGGGGCGTCCGTAGACAGCATCGCGTTGCTCTGGGGCGGCCAAAGAGAGCATCGCGACGCTCCGGGGCATCCAGGGAGAGCATCGCGACGCTCCGGGGCGTCCGGGGAGAGCATCGCGACGCTCTGGGGCGTCCGGAGAGAGCATCGCAACGCTTTGGGGCGGCTGGGGAGAGCATCGCGACGCTTAGGGGCGGCTGGGTAGAGCATCGCGATTCTCTGGGGCGTCCGGGGAGAGCATTGCGACGCTCTGGGGCGTCCGGGGAGAGCATCGTGACGCTTCGGGGCGGCCGGGGAGAGCATCGCGACGCTCTGGGGCGTCCGGGGAGATGATCGCGACGCTCTGGGTCGTCGGAGTAGGGCATCGCGACGCTCTGGGGCGGCTAGGGAGAGCATCGAGACGCTCTGGGGCGTCCGGGGAGAGCATCGCGACGCTCCGGGGCGGCCAGGGAGAGCATCGCGACGCTCTGGGGGGTCCGGGGAGAGCATCGCGACGCTCCGGGCGTCCGGGGAGAGCATCACGACGCTATGGGGCGTCCGGGGAGAGCATCGCGACGCTCTGGGGCGTCCGGGGAGAGCATCGTGACGCTCCGGGGCGTCCGGGGAGAGCATCGCGACGCTCCGGGGCGGCTGGGGAGAGCATCGCGACGCTCTGGGGCGTCCGGGGAGAGCATAGCGACGCTCTGGGGCGTCCGAGGACAGCATCGCGACGCTCCGGGGCGTCCGAGGAGAGCATTGCGACGCTCCGGGGCGTCCGGGGAGAGCATCGCGACGCTCTGGGTCGTCCGAGGAGAGCATCGCGACGCTCCGGGGCGGCTGGGGAGAGCATCGCGACGAAACGCGGACGGATCCGCACATGTGCACGAAGTGCAGCGGGCGCTCTTCATTCGCAAGCGCCGATGACCGATGATGCTCGCAACCCTCCCACACCCTTTCTGGCTTGGCAAGAAGACCAGACAAGCGCAGCCAAGTGACATGGCGGAAGAAAAACGCTTGGAATGAGCGCTTCTACCCCCAAAATGTTGAAGGATCCGCATTCGTACAGGAAGTGCAGCGGGCGCTCTTCATTTGCGAGAGCCGATGATAGATGATGCTTGCAACCCTCCCACGCCCTTGCTGGCTTGGCAATAGGACCAGACAAGCACAGCCACGTGACCTGGCGGATGAAAAACGCTCGGAACGAGCGCTAGTACCCCCAAAACTCAGAAGGTTCCGCACATGTGCAAAAAGTGCAGCGGGCGCTCTTCATTCGCGAGCGCCGATGACCGATGATGCTCGCAACCCTCCCACGCCCTTGCTGGCTTGGCAAGAGGATCCGACAAGCGCAGCCACGTGACTAGGCCGAAGAAAACGCTTGGAATGAGGGCTTCTACCACCAAATTCATGAAGGATCAGCATTCGTGCAGGAAGTGCAGCGGGCGCTCTTCATTTGCGAGCGCCGATGACCGATGATGCTCGCAACCCTCCCACGCCCTTGCCGGCTTGGCAATGGGAATAGACAAGCGCAGCCACGTGACCTGGCGGAAGAAAAACGCTCGGAACGCGCACTAGTACCCCCAAAACGCGGAAGGTTCCACACATGTGCACGAAGTGCAGCGGGCGCTCTTCATTCGCAAGCGCCGATGACCGATGATGCTCACATCCCTCCCACACCCTTGCTGGCTTGGCAAGAAGACCAGACAAGCGCAACAACGTGACCCGGGGGAAGAAAAATGCTCGAAACGAGCGCTAGTACCCCCAAAACGCGGACGGATCCGCACATGTGCACGAAGTGCAGCGGGCGCTCTTCATTCGCAAGCGCCGATGACCGATGATGCTCGCAACCCTCCCACGCCCTTGCTGGCTTGGCAAGAGGACCAGACAAGCGCAGCCACGTGACTTGGCGGAAGAAAAACGCTCGGAACGAGCGCTTTCACGCCCAAAACGCGGAAGGATCCACACATGTGCACGAAGTGCAGCGGGCGCTCTTCATTCGCGAGCGCCGGTGACCGATGATGCTCGCAACCCTTCCACGCCCTTGCTGGCTTGGTAATAGATCAGACTGCGGAGAGTCTGTACACAACGGGAGTGGACTACGGTGGAGGGCAAGGAGTTGTGCGGGTGATCGTAGCGTTGTTCTAATGTTCTTACTGCTTGTTGTGTTCACATAGAAGTTTTGGCAAGAGTTTCCACTAAGGAAGAAAGAACAACTTGCAATGAAAAGTTGAAAGTACAATTGAGGCATGCAGAACAAAAAGGACTAGAAAGGCATTCAACTCCTGCGAAATCTGCCAGCGCAGCAGAAGAGCGGCTTGCCAACGTTGCAGCAGAGTGTTCTGCCAACGTTGCACTGCGCGCGGTCTGCCAGCGTTGCAGTCCCAGGTGACTATCTGCAGTCGCAGGTAACTATCTGCAGTCGCAGGTTGTCTATCTGCGCAGATGTGCGCACCTACCAAGTAGGTGCAGGTTGGCGGTTTCACCGTCAGGCACATTGCGCAGGTGCCAGGTAGAAAACGTGTCGTCAGTTTCGCCAGGTGCGCACCGTCGACCACGTGATGCCGTTCCGCAGGTAGAACTTCGCCAAAATCTCCTGGGCGAAAGTTCGCACGCCTCCGCAGAGTTTCGCACAACTCTGCAACTTCGATCGAAGGACTCGCCATCGCTCGGTCGAACAGAGTTCGCCGAGCAGAGCTCCTCGACCAGAACTCTTCGACCAGAGTTCCTCGACGGAAGTTTGTCGCGCAGAGATCGTCGACCAGAGCTCGTCGAGCAGAGCTCGTCGACCAGATTCGAGCAGAGCCTGCTCGACTGCAACTTCCGTCAAACTGCAAAAGCCTACTTCTTCTACCAAGTCGTCGAGAACTTCCCGTCGACGGCGAGATCGGCTGCGCCCAAGCGAGGGCGGGGCCTTTCTCTTCGACACTCCCCTGCCCAGCTCACGCTTGGGCACCCACACACAAGGTCCACCCATAACCCAGAGGGATAGAATACAAGGAGAAAATTCCTTCTACGTGCACCCAATGCATAGCACGTAGATCACCGCACCAGCCGTGCAGAAGGGCACGGCACCTACTACTGCACTTCGTCATCCCCGTCGCCCACGTCGGCCAGACGCACTTGACCGATTGCGACGAAGCACCGGTTGAATGCCGGAAAATGCAGCGCCTTCGTCAGAAAATCCGCCGGCTGCTCAGTGGTCGGGATGTACTGCAGAGCAATCTCCCCGCGCTTCACCATCTGCTGCAGCCATGCGTAGCGTCGCTCCATGTGCTTGAGGTTGCCCTTGAGCCCCAAGCCCTCTGCGACAGTGATCGCCGACTGGTTGTCCACGTGCAGAACAGTCGGCTTCCTTGGGTTGAGCAGACGGAATTCTGCAAGGAGGAAGCGCAGACAACGAGCCTCCTTGCCGGCTTCGGTAGCTGCGACGTACTCTGATTCGGTCGAGGAAAGCGTCGCGCACTTGATGCGCTGGCTCGCCCAAGAGACTGAGGCTCCTCCGAATACGAAAACGTAGCCGCCCGTGCTCGTCCGATTCTACTTGTCGCGAGCATCGTCGGCATCTGCATAGCCGACCAGACACAGCGACTCTGGTCCGCCGCCGAACTCCAGAGCAGCGTCACAAGTTTCAGCGAGGTAGTGCAGACAGCGATCGACCTCACGCCAGTGGTTGTCGCTCCGCACTGTCAGGCCGGATCCGAGCTTGCTGCAAGCGAAGGCAATGTCGGGCCTCGTCGTGGTGGCCGCGAACTGCAGCAAGCCCACCTTCTGCCGATACTCTGCTTCCTCGCGCGACTGAAACTCCTCATCGTCGAACACCAGCTCTGCGTAGGTGTCGACGGAGACCGGCGTCTTCGGCACTCGCCCGGTCTGCTCCTCGTCGATGAAGCGTCAGCGCAGCTTGTCGACGTAGACTTGCTGGTGAAGCCACAGCTTCCGCGCAGGACGGTCGCGCACGATTTCCAGCCCGAGGTACTTCTCGACCGGCTTGATCTCGCGCAGCTCGAAGGCAGCCTCCAGAAGCTCCTTCAACTCTTTCAGCATCACAGTGCAGCTGCTAGCAGCGAGCAGATCGTCGACGTAGACGAGCACCCAGCACGCCACTCCGTCGTCGCCGACCTTGAAGTAGAGCGCTTCGTCTACCTGGCTCTTCCTCCAACCAGCGCCGATCAGCACCGCGTCGAGCGCCGAGTACCACAGCAGCGGACTCTGCTTCAGTCCGTACAAGCTCTTCAACAGCTTGCAGACGCGACCGGTGCCGTCGTTGAAGTAGTCGGGCTGGTACATGTAGAGGACGCGATCCAGCTTGCTCTGCAGGAACGCGTTTTTCATGTCCAACTGCATCAGGTGCAGGTCGAGGACTGCTACAATGCTCAGGAAAATCCGCAGAGTTACGTAGCTCCCCACCGGCGCGTACGTCTCGTCGTAATCTGCGCCGTAGACCTGCGTGAAACCTTTCACCACCAGACGCGCCTTCTCGCGGGCGACCGTGTCGTCGACGTGGTACTTCGTCGTGAGTACCCAACGATTCTTCATCACGTTGACACCGCTCGGACGCTCGACCAGAGATTCTCCGACGTTCCGTTGGAGATGAGATTCTTGATCTCCTCGTCCATGGCCTCTTTCACCGCCTTGCCCTTCCAGCTCGCCAACGCCTCCTTCACTGTCATGTTGGCGATGTCCCAGCAATGCTCTGGGTCAGCATGCATGTCGGGGTCGAGTTCGGGCAGATCAACGTCGTCCTCTGCGTCGTCGAGCAGAGTGCTGTAAGCCGTCGGCGGCAGACAAGCGTGGAAGCTCAGCTTCTCAGGCGGCTTGCCGATGTTGGGGCGGGTAGAACGGCGCGGTTTCTCCTCTTCGACCGCGACCTCTACCACGTAGTCGTCTTCGGACTGCTCCCCTTCTCCGCCACCGGCCACACCGACGACTTCCACAACGTCGTCGCTCGATGAATCATCGTCGAACTGCTCCCCTGTCGGCAGCTCCTCTACCAACTGCTCCCCCAGGATCGGCTGCTCTGCCAACGACTCCTCTGAAGGTGGCGCCTCTGCCAGTGGCTTTTCTGCAGGCTGCTTCGGCGCCTCTGGCAGCAGCTTCTCTGCAGTCGGCTTCGACGCCGACAGCTCCCCTGTCGTCTGCCGCTTCCCGTCGCCGACCTTCTCGGCGTGACGTCGACCACCGGCGATGCAACCGGTCGGCGCCGCAGGCGACGCACCAAGTCTCCCCTCATCGCCGGCGGCCGACGAGGGCACAACAGGAGGAGGGAGGGGAACTTCCTCTACGTCCGCATCATCATGCTCGTCGACGACGGCGAGCAGAGGCATCGTCGAGGAGGAATCCGGCGGCGGAGCAGACGGCGTCTTCTTCGACGCCGGCCCGTACTCAGCCTTCCACTTCTCCATGGACAGGTTCTCGTAGAAGATTGCCTCGACCGTCGTGACGACTTTGTTGGCAGTCAGGTCGAGCACCTCCCAGCCCTTGCTCTCCAGCGACACGCCGGGTGAAGACCCCAACGGGCCTTCGGCGCCAGCTTCCCGCCGCGCTGCTGCTCGGGGACCATGAACTGCACCATGCAGCCCCAGACGTGCGCCAGCGTCAGATCCGGCTTCGTCCCGAAGAGCAGCTCGTGCGGCGTCGTCCCCTTTGGCAGAGAAGCCCGCTCGAGGCAGTTGCGCACCCAGACAGCGTGGCGCAGGGCGAGGTGCCACCAGTGATGCTTCACGCCCATGTGCAGAAGCATCGTTCGCACGGCCTCGACCACCGTGCGCATCTCCCGCTCGGCCATCCCGTTCTGCTGCGGAGTGTAGGGGCACGTCAGATTGTGGAGGATTCCTTTGTCCTCGACGAGGTCGGTGAAGGCGCGACCGAGGAACTCCCCTCCG